CAGTACTTCCAGGAAGGTTTAGAAATCTTATTTAATTTGTTCTGCATGTATCAAACCTTTCTATTCATTCAAAACCTTCCACTGTTAATCATACTCCACTCAAGGCTATAGATGAACATGAATGTTTCTGTACTGGCCATCACTAATAGTGTGAGAAATAGCAGGCAACAGCAGTTGTGCCTTCAATCTTCTATCCAGGAGGATACGCTTTGACCTTTGCTCAGCACCCCCAGCCAAAACTCAACCATCCTGAAAAAGGAATTAAAACCTACATATCCTCCCATCATGTTTCTATGGCTTAATGCATTGATGTTTGCTGCGTAAAGCTTCATGCACTGCTGATTGCTGGTGGAATTTGTTTTTACTTTGGAGTTGATCTAACATCAATTTTCTGCACTTGAGTACTGAGTCAGTCAAGTATTTTCATTTAATACAGAACATTTGCAACACTATGAAGACACTGCATGTTCGTGCACTAATGTGGTATAGCACAGACTGATTGGATTGACTTTACTCTCATGATTCTCCACATAGTGTATTCATCTCTGCTGTGCTTTTACGGAAACTTCTCAACAAAGAGATGGTGAATCTGAAATTCAGTTAACTACACATACTCAAAAAGTGAACTAAAATTAATTTGCTCCATCTTGCACAAAGGCAGCGCCAAACAGACTGAGGAATTAGTGTTATGGTAATATCACTGGGTTAGTAATCCAGAATCCCAGGGAAATGTGGGTTCAAATCTTACCATGGGAAATGCCATTTTCTCCAGATTACACCTGTTCATATATTTCCTCCATGACAAGGAGAGTTACACAAATTATAAGTGGGATTCTCCACTAATACTGGCTTCCCTCAATTGCAGGGTGCTATAGAATGCATTCATGGTGCTTTGTAAACATCCTAACATCAACCTGCAGAATTCATCAAATGAAAATGCTTCCACTGCATATATATTCAAATTAAATGTGGCTATACGTGTGCTTCAGATACCCTGGAGCTACCAGGTTAGAGAAATCACAGTCTCCTGTTTCCTTCCAAGGTCCTTGAATGGCAGTTGAGAAATAAGAGTTAACTCCTCCAAGTATGACTGATAAGCCTGTTACAAAACCTTGAGACTAACAGTGAAGATATGGCACTGCCTATGTTTTCACCAGGGACCTAGTGGAATAGACCATAGGCTTCTTAACTGGAGGTCGTGATGCCTGCACCTCTCCAGCAGGACCTTGCAGGTTAACTCAAAGTATGTGTTGCATCGTTGCAGCATGCTGTGACCTTCATAGCTGGAGCCAAAAAAGGGTGGATGTCTGGGTGCAGATGAAATTGGGGATTGACACAAAGCCTCTGAGGGTGAACGTGAGGATGAGGATATTGACTGGCAAGAATATCTCACATGAGGCAACATAATTGGGTCTGGCAGTGGCAAAGGCATTGCAGAAAGCATTTTAAAGGTGGAAACGCATATATACAAATGTGCAAGATAATTTACATGATGTGTCACTTGTTCTATCTACATGTCCTCAGTAAGATTAAGCTCCCTGCCCATCCCACTACTTCTATGTGCAGTTCCAACTTCTGAACTGGGGTGGAAGAACCCTGCTCTGTCATTGGTCTGAAGTAACCTTGTCGGCCTGCAACTCGTGGCCTGATGTCCCCGGGGGTGTTTTGCTTAGAGATCTAAGGCCTGTTGATGGTGTGCTGTCCAGATGAGGTTTCACCCTCCACAGCTTGATTTCTGCAGTCTTTGGCATCATAGGGGAGTTGGAGGAGCTGGGTACCTCTGAAGTGTCCTGAGACAAAGCTTATGGGGCCCTCTGTGTTGCTCCTTCCTGTTGGCGCTTGCTGGCAGCATCCTGTCTCCCTGAGAGAAAGAGGCACCGGGGGAAGTTGAGATCTCTCGTTTCCTTCTTGTGCTGCTTTGATGCTGAGCATCACTCAAATGTCAAAATGGGTGTAAACATAATAAAGCTTTTAGTCAGTTTTATAGCGGCCTCCCTGCCTATTGTGGCATCGTCAGCTGGGCGTGGCATTCTGAAGTGATCTCCCAGCCTCATGATCCTCAAGGTGAAGCCCAACGCGGTCTGGAAACAGGACTGGAAGCTAGGTGTCAGCGTGGTCTGTTGTTCCGAACTTTTGTTTTTGCAATGCTGGACATTTTATTTCTCTAAGATCTATCCAAGATCTTGTAACTAAAGAAGCTGTACCCAGGTACCTTTGTATAAACTTTTCACTATACTCATTGAGTATATGTGATAATAAAGGCTAATTCTAATTTAAAATCTGGTGCCAAACACTAGCAGATCTGTAAAATCGCAATGAGTTTTTTTTAAGGGTTCAGTTAATTTGTCACTTGTTGAATGGTCTTTTTAAAAAAATCCCTTCAAGAAATAAAAAGACATTCTTATCAAAACATTGACTGAAAAATTCTTCTTTGGTCAACAGATTCTTGGGACACATTATTTTCAGCACGTATATGCTTTTTCAGAAAAGCGTGCAGCCCAAAATTTTACAAAAGTTGACAATAATTTATCTCCAGTTAAAAGTGATTTGGTTAAGCTAAATTCCAGGAACATGAGATTGATGAAAATGGCACCTGCACAGTAAGTACTGTTCAGGCTGATTGGAGCCCACCTACTCCAGGCCAGAGGTGTCGTTTTCTATATGTACTTTTCAGCTTTTCTCTTTTTGTTTGTCCTTTCTTCCTGGAGTGGTGTCAGTAAGGGCAGTGTCGGCGGAGGCGGTGCCCGGAGCGGGGACTCCTCCAGGGTTGGAATACCTTACAGAGACCTTGCAGAAGCCTTGGAGCTGTGCTTGAGACCCCAATTTGAAAGGAACACGAACTCCCATTTTTAGTAATTTCTTTTTATCCTTATTGTAACTCAAAATAGCACTGGATTGTGGTGATAAATCCCTTTTCACTGTATCTTCACGATACATGTGACAACAAATCATTCATTCATTCAAAACTTCAATTCTGACTAGAAAGCAGCGGTTACTTTACTAAGTCTGAATGTAGCCACAATCCATAAAATTGACAAATCGTTACCTTTTTTAAAACTTGTGAATTGAATTTAAAACTTTGCAGTAGCAAGAATCATGTTTGATTTTGTTTCACTGTCCTGTTAAATCACTAGAAATCCGAGGGCACTGAGTTCAAAGTCTGAGAGAATGTACCATTTAAAAATAACCCTCACCCCTCTCTCTCTCTCTCTCTTTCATAGCTATATTAAACCCCTGGATTGGGACCAGACCATCAACACCTTCCTTAACGCAGGAGACTGAAGTGGACGTGAGGTGAGCTAGCATTAGAAGCCCGGAATTTTAGAACAGGGGCTAGTCTGATTTGCTGAGATACCGCTGATTGACACAGACATCGACCTATGAAACGCTGCATTTTTCCCGCAACCAGCCAATAGAATCTAGGAGCGCTGAGCTGTGAGGCGGGCCTTTGCTGCTGGTTGTGAGGTAACGGCGATAATTGACATGATGTCGGACCAATGGAAAAGAGGAACTGCGTTTGGAGGCGGGACCTGTCTCGGCGTCGCCTGGTAACGCTGCTAACGGACATGGAGGAATACCAATAGGAGGAGGAAATAGGGCCCTGCGGGCTTGGGGGGGTGATGACGCACAACGGCAACTCCGGAGTTGTTCAGAGGCAGGTAAACAAAATGGCGGCTGCCTAACAACTGAACTCCTTGCAGGAGGAGGGAGGTGAGGCGATGCTGCATGGAGCGGAACAACGACAACAGCAGCCAGAGGAGCCCGAGGAATCCGAGTCGATCCTGGCGCCTTTCAGAGACTATGTCGAGATGGACGAGGTCATTGACTACATCAGTGACAACGACCTCATGGGAGTGGACACTTTCATCCACAGGATAGACTCCACTGACGTGATCTACCAGCCGAGGAAGAAAAGGGCCAAAATCATCGGAAAGTACCTAATGGGCGACCTCCTGGGAGAGGGTTCCTACGGCAAAGTCAAGGAGATGCTGGACTCTGAGACACTGTGCAGGAGGGCCGTGAAAATCCTCAAGAAGAAAAAGCTGAGGAGGATCCCGAACGGGGAAGCGAATGTGAAAAAGTAAGTGGATGGAAGTAGAAATATTGCACACACGATCGAGGCTTATGCAGCGCCTGTAATGCTTACTGACAGTTCGCACCGAATCCCTGGAAGTGGCAATTGTACAGGTTCTACCCCACCCCTCTCAACTCCCCCATCGCCACTTTTTACTTTTGACAACCAAACACCCGTCAGTCCATCGTCGCGGTTCTTGCTCCCAAAGTGACAACGAGAGGTGAACTAGTAGCCCCTCTTACTGCAGCCAACCTGCATGTTGGTTTGAAGTCTTTGGATTTCTGATGATCATATCTTTTTTCAACGTTAACAAAGGCGGTGCTTTTGTGCTCCGTCTCTTTGAATTAAGAAAAATGAAGTTCTGGTACCAGACTTGTCAAGTTGACATATTTTTGAGAAGGGGAGGAGTAAATGTTAGGGTAGTGACATCGTATTCTTGAATCCCACAACTGTAGTAATATTGTGAGCTTAACATTTTGAACAGACTACATTGATACGAGACAGCTGTTTCCATTTAAACACCCAGTTTTAGTGATCTAGGATAGAGAAAGAGGAAGTAAAACATTTGAACGATTACGATTGCCCGCTGATTTACCATATAGTTTGTAGTCATTGCGATTTTTGCGACATGTAGCAATGAACATTGTGCAGAATAATGTTTAATTTTACTTTCAACCAAAAGATAAACTTAGTTGAATGTTGCAACCGCCTCGCTCCCATTTCTTTCTGTGGTTTAAAAACTCAACCACTGAACAGCAACGATAACGTGAACTGCGTGTTTAGAAATGTGAAACAGGGAAACAATTCTCATTGAAAATGATACCTCAATTAAAATTTAAACACAATTTAAATGCTTTCTATCACTGTTCCATTGATTTTATATTTTTCCTACTAAAATCTGAGCTTTTAATTTGCCAAACAAAAATATTGGGGATATTCCTTGGCTGAGTTCCCAGTTTTAATTAGTACTTATACTCTGGCTTTACTCAGGGCAAGATTTAGTCAATTTTTAATGGGCCATCGTGTGATTGTATATTTGGGACTCTTCTCTTTCAGAGTCGGCACCAGACTATCTTGTCAGGTTGGTAAGGAAGTGAGTTCTATTGGGTTCATGACATTGAAACTGAAGAGGAAAGCATAGATGGCTTTTGGGGTTTGGGGAAAGGGATGTGATTTTGAGAGAGTTGATGATTGTGACATAGCCAATATCTGTTCAGTAATCTTAGAAATCCTCTTCACCACTTTTACAAATATTAGATAAATCTCCATACGTTTGCCTCAATTATTGAGTCAAAATATGTAAAGGAGAGCACTTGTACTGTAAATACAGTCAAATCTTAAATGAGGGTCCTGCTTATTTATTATATGTGCCATGCCTTCCTCTTCCAAGATAGCTAGCATCTAACTTGCTTCAGCACAGCTAAACTCACTTAGATTCTTGACAAGCTAAATATTCAACAATATTTGTTGATTCCTATAATGAAAACTTACCCTGATGTACAGAATCGAAAAGACAAGTGTAGGTTTTTTTCTGAATAGTCAGTCAGCTTTTTGGATAACCTTTGTAATTTTTTTCTTAACTTATGTTGGTTCATGGTGCTTAAAAAATTAATATTAGTGATTTTGTTCAAGTGAATTTGGACTATGAAAGGTCTAAAACATTTGATCCAAATCAAGTGTGGATAATGCATCCACCCATTGGTTGCTGAAGGCTTCCTGGCATTACTACTCCAGTGCTCTTTTGACTGGATGCCAACATTCCATCCTCTGTAAATATTAGCTCATTCAAATCTCTGCTGCTAACTTGCACAAACTTCCTTTCACCCATCACCCTCTGCTGATGTACATTGGCTGTAGTCTCACTAACACCTTGAATTTAAAATTCTCATCTTTGTATTCAAATCACTCAATGGCCTTGCTTCTCATGATTGCAGTAACCTGTACTTTTGAGAAATCTCTGCTCTTCAAATTCTGATCTTTTATACATCTTTGATTTATGTTGTCTCATCACTGGGTACCTTTGGCTTGCCTAAGCCCTGAGTCCTGGAATTGCCTTCTTCAACCTCACTATTTCTCTCTTTTCCTTTTAAGTACTCCATAACACAATCTATTTGATCAAGTTTTGGCCATTTGTCATAGTTTTTTTTTCTATTTATGTACCTCAGTGTCAAATGTTTTCGATAACACTGCTGTGATGTACTTTGGAATGTTTTACTGCGTTGAAGGTGCAAAATAAGTGCAATTTGTTTTAAGGAATTAATAACACAACAAAAAAAATAGGAGCAGGAGTACGCCATTCACCCTTTCTGATCTGTTCTGCCAGTCAGTAAGATCATGGCTGATCTGATTTAAGACTTAATTCCACTTTCTTGAATGCTGCTTGTAACCTTTGATTCCCTTGTCGGTCAAAATTCTGTCTACCTCAGCTTCGTATATAGTCAATAGTCCAGCCTCCACTGCTGCCTGTGGAAGAATTTCAAGGGCTGATGACCCTGAGAAAATACAATTCTTTTCATCTCGGTCTTAAATGAGAGACTCCTTATTTTTAAAATGTGCACAGTATTTCTAAATTTCTGCATGAGGAGAAACATCCTCTCTGCAACTACCCTATCAAGCTCACTCAAACCTTGTATTTCAATGAGATCAACTTTCATTCTTCTGAACTCATGTGTATGGGCCCAACCCATTTAACCATTTGTCAAAAGAGAATCCCTTCTTTCCACATGTTTGTTTTGCATTCGCTCTCACTCTGCATTTAATTTTTAACTACTTTTCTATGTTTCCTGTTAAAGTGGCAACTTCTTGCTTTTCCACATTATACTCCATCTGTCAATTTTTGCCTTTCATTTAACACAGCATTGTCATTTCACATACTTTCTGAATCTTTTTCATTAGTTGCTTTGCTACTGTTTTTTTTTAATCATTTATAAGCTTGTGACAATATACTCTGTCCTTTAGTCCAAGGTATTAATATATATTTTATCCCTGAGGTATCAGTACTTATCCTTGTGCCACTTCACTATCACCCCCAATACCATGAGCATCTTGTGTGGTAACTTTAATCTGGCACCTTATCGAATGCTTTTTGCAAATTCAAATACACTGCATCCATAGGTTCCTCTTTTTCTACCCTGCATTTTACAACTGTAAAGAATGGTGATAGGTTTATCAAACATGAATTCCCTTTCACAACTCTGTATTGACTTTGCTTGCTAGGATTAAGATTTCTTACATGTCTTGCATGTACTAATTTAGAATTGGATCCTAGCATTTTCTCAAATACAAAGATTAATTGGGCTATAGTTTTTGCATTCTGTCTTCCTCCTTGAGTGTGTGTTGTATTTGCAGATCCTTAGTGTGCAGGAGGCTTTTCAGAATCTGGGAATTTTTGAAAGCTTATCACTAATGCATCTGCTATATCTGCATATCTTTACTTGAGATCTTACAATACAGTCATCAGGTACTGGTTGAAGTTGTCAACCATTAGCAGAGGCCATGGCATTAAAGGACTCAATGTGCCAACAAATATTTGAGAACAGGAGCCTAAGTAGGACTGGAACAAAAAACTGGAATGACTTGGGCCATGGGGCCATGTGGCTATCTGTAGCTATTTATGAATGCGTTCTTTTATGAAAAAAATTAATCAGCACCCAATTTGCTGATAAAAGTCACTCCTTTTGCAGATTTACCAACTGCTGTCTGAAACAGTTAACTGTAAGCTGTTTATTGACATTAATTTTCCTGAGATTGCCATTATGTTATGATTGTAATTTATATGTTTATGACTGTGTCAAGCATTTTAGTCGATGCATTTTACTGTGATAGAGTCATAGAAACTCTACCTTTTAGAATCAAGCTCTGTGTTCCAGTGCCACTCTAGGACTGGTATGGAAGCAAAGTATTGTAGATCCTGGAAATCTGAAACAGTAACAGAAAATGCTGAAGAAACCCAGCAGATCTGGCAGCATCCGTGAAGACAGAAACAGAGTTAATATTTCAAAGGAAGAGCGGCATTGGACTCGACATATTAATGCTGCTCCTCTCTTCATAGATGCTGCCAGACCTGTTGAGTTTCTCCAGTATCTTCTGTTTTTGGTTCACCCTAGAACTCGATGACCATGGAAGAGATGCATCCAAAACTTGGCCAAACAAATTTAATATCAATCTGCAAGTCCTTCCATCAGCTCCAGATATAATACTGGGTTAGCCTCCACTTTGAGTATCAAGTACAGTTAAGGTCAACATAGTACTTAAGCACATCCTGATTTGAGAGAAGGACAGCTAAACATATCTGAGATTAGGCATACGAGTTAAGAGAGATTAAGGTCAAAATATTTACACTGGAAAAAGCCAATTCAGAGATAATAATGGAGATTTTTGAGGAAACATAGAAAACCATGAATGTGACAATTCAAATTTTCAAGCATTCAACAGATTTTTTTTTAGGTAAGTGTAAGGGACATGGAACAAAGCCAGTTGAATGGAGCCATGTTAGAGATTAGCTGTAACGTGATTGATGGAAAAGGATCTGGGACACCAGGTTGAATGAATGCAAATGTTGTGGTGGGGGAGAGTAAGCCCCTCACTCTATCACAGTGGCTGTCCTTCTCTGAAGTCAGGATGTGCTTAAGTAAAATGTTGACCTTAATCGTACTTGATACTGAAAGTGGAGGCTGACCAAGTATTCTGTATGGAGCTGTTGGAAGGATTTTCAGATTGGTATTGAACTTGACATTGCAGACTTGCTCACCGAGCTGATGTGTTTGGTTGCAGACGTTTCATCACCCTGCTCGGTAACATCATCAATTCGCCTTCAGTGAAGCATTGGTGTTCCGTCCTGCTTGTTATTTATATGCCTTGGTTTGCTGGGGTGGTTAGCATTACTTCTGGTTCTGTTTTTCAGTGTTTGTTAATGGGGTTGTGGTTGGAATGCCAGACCTCCAGGAATTCCCTGCTGTGTCTCTGCTTGGCTTGTGCCATTATGGATGTGTTGTCCCAGTCGAATT